CTGCAAACTGTGGATTGCTTGCTATTTAAAGAAGAAATTTTGTATCTTGTTTCCCAAATTGGATTACTTTGAAGAAAAACTAAGAAGACTTGATTTTAGATGTACTTAATCTGTTTTTGGACTACTTATGGACAGTTGGAAAGAAGAAATTAATTGGAACAACTGCTGATTAATGGCGCTGTAACAAAAGGGAAGGGCGGAGCGACAGAAGAAGACATGATGGTACCATATGTGGAATACAAAAGAACTAAACCCTTTAGTCTTTATAACCTTATTGATATTGGAACTGAAAAGAAAAAAAAAGTATGGACAGATTGGAGAAAGGGAAAAATTGGAATAGATTGGACAGCAAGATGAGAAAAGTACTACAGTTTGATTAATATGGATGTAAATGTTTTCTATGTAATTGAGGTCTAAACAATGTAAGGAGGAGACTTCCTATTTCTTCTTTCTCTCTCTCTCTTATTTTCTCTTTCCTTTCTTTATTACTCTTACTTTATTCCTCTCTTTTTTTTCTCTTTCTTTTTTTGAATTTTTCTTTTTGATTTCTTTTGTTATATTTTTATTCCTTTTTTCTTCTCCCTTTCTCTTTCCTTTTTTGACTTTTCATTATTATTATTGAGAGAAGTGATTTTTAAGGTGGGGAAAATGTGATAATAGAAAAATTATAAGAAATATGAAGATTATAAATGAATTTTTGATTACTAATAAGAATTGCTGATGGATTTAATGAATATAGAAAATTGTTTCTCTAAAATGGTTTAAAATATTGTCCTTTATAGAAAATAAGAAAACATGAATGAAGCTTTGAATATTAGCAGGAATTGTTTATAGACTTTATGATTATTTTTAAAGCAGGAAATGTCATTATAGAAAAATTATAAAAATGTGAAGACTTTGAAAGAAAATTTTTAAATATTAATAAGAGTTCTAATGGTTACAGAAAATTGATTTGAAAGTGGTTTAAAATGTCATTTTTTCATAGTAAATAAGAGAATGGAAATGAATTTTTGAATATTAATAAGACTTGTTTTTAGATTTTATAACTTTGGTAAATTAGTGTTTCAAAATGGTTCAAAATGTTGCTTTACATAGAAAAACAAGAAACAAATAGGAAATGGGAGAAATTTAAATAAAATTAATAGTTTAAGAGAGAGTAGGAGAGAAGATATATATTACAATGCATTATTATTTTAAATTGGTAAGGAAGTATGATTTTGGTGATCAGATGATTAAAGCTAAATTGTGAATTAGTCAAATATAAGGTTAGGAGTGGAAGAAAGCATCCCTGGAGAACAGCTGATTAGTCTGTGAACCAGCCAAAAATAAACTTAGGAAGAGTGGAGGAGATAATGCTGGAGAGCAGTTAGAGCCAAACTGTGAACCAGTTAAATATAAGGTAAGGAGCAGAGGAAAGCATCCCTGGAAAACAGCTAACTATGCTGTGAACCAGCCAAAAATAAATTTAGCAGGAGAGGAGGAGACAACGCTGAGGAGCAGTTAAAGCCAAACTGTGAACCAGCTAAATGTAGGTTAGGAGTGGAAGGAAGCATCCCTGGAAAACAGCTGATTAAGCCGTTATCCAGCTAAAAATAAACCTAGGAGGAGTGGAGGACAAAATGTTGGAGAGCAGTTAAAACCAAATTGTGATCTAGCTAACAAATAAGGCTAGGAGTGGAGGAAAGCATCCCTGGAAACCAGCTAACCAAGCTGCAATCCAGCCAAAAATAAACCTAGGAGGAGTGAAGGAGATATTTCTGAAAACAGTTACAGCCAAATTGATAGAAGTGGAGGAAAATATTGATGGGGAATAGCTATATAAGTTATGAACCATTTAAACATCAGAATTAGCTGTAATGGAGAAAAAACTTGTAATTAGCAAAAACAAAATATTTTGGGTATAATAAATTATAGGTGGAAATGTGGAATAAATTTTAAAGTGAATTGCTTTTGTCAGGTTTGCCTGATTCGCCAGTTGCGACCCTTTCTTGATCAGGATTCCATGTGCACAGTCACTCATGCCCTCGTCACCTCTCGCCTGGACTACTGCAACACTCTCTACATGGGGCTCCCCTTGAAGAGCACCCGGAGGCTCCAACTGGTCCAGAATGCAACCACGCAGGTAATTACGGGAGCTGCATGGCGCTCCCACATAACACCGCTCCTGCGCGAGCTGCACTGGCTCTCAGTGGTCTTCCAGGTGCGCTTCAAAGTATTGGTTACCACCTTTAAAGCACTCCATGGCATAGGACCTAGTTATCTTCGAGACCGCCTGTTGCTACCGACAACCTCCCATCGACCCGTGTGCTCCCACAGAGAGGGCCTCCTCGGGGTGCCATCAGCCAAACAATGTAGGCTGGTGACCCCCATGGGGAGGGCCTTCTCTGTGGGGGCACCTACCCTATGGAACCAGCTGCCCCCTGAAATAAGGAGAATTCAAGACCTCGGTGCCTTCCGCCGTGCTCTTAAAACTTTCTTTTTTCATCAAGCCGGGCTGGCTTAGCATATTTTTAAATTTTTAATTTTTAATTGGTTTGTCATTTTAAACTGGGCCCAAATTAATATATATTCTTTTAATTGTTCTTAATGTTTGTATTGTATGTTTTTATCTGGCTGTACACCGCCCTGAGTCCCTTGGGAGAAGGTGCGGTATATAAATTTGAAATAAAATAAAATAAAAATAAATAAATGTTTTTAAGAGAGGAGTAAAAATATAAGATTAAAACACAGGAAGTGGAAGCCTCCGCCAAATACGTCAACTCTGTGGACCATGTAGATTAAATTCACACGAGAAGATGCTCAGGAAAACTGTCTGGCTTTTCTGGACTGTGAAGTGCACATTAAGGAAGAAAGAAACCTTAACACTGAAGTTTACAGAAACCTCCCCACACACATAGATCAGTATTTACATTTTGATTCTCATCACCCACTGAGATACAAAATGGGAGTGATCAGAACCTTGCACCACTGGGCTGACAGTTTGCCAGCCAATAAAGAGGGAAAAGAAAAAACACGTCACGGAAACTGTCCAAATGTGTGGCTATCCCAACTGCACTTTTATCAAACCCAGAAAGAGATCCAGCAGAAGCTCCTCCATAGCAGTCAAAGAAGAGAACAAAAATGAAGCAATGTTGTCATTCCATACTTTGCAGGAATATCGGAAAAGATTAGGAGGATTTTCAACCAACACTACATACATACTCATTTCAAACTCAAGAATACACTAAGGCAGAAGCTTGTTCACCCCAAGGATAAAACACCCAGACAGAAATTGAGTAATGTAGTATATGCAAGATGGTGCAGTGAGACATGTGCAGATCTGTACATTGAAGAAACAACCACCTCACAAATCCATGGCATAACGTAGGAGAACAAATCTATCAGGACAAGATTCAGCAATTCATCTGTATTTGAAAGGCAAAGGTCACTTTTTTGAAGATAACAAAGTCCACGGATAGTCTGGATAGAAAGAACTATTGGTTTGAAAGAGGGGTGAAAGAGGCCATCTATGTTAGAATTGAAGAGCCCACCCTCAATAGAGAGGAGGGAATATGACACCACCTATCTTCTGTCTTCAACACAGTCCTTTCAGCAGTTCCAAGAAGATTCCACACACCATTGGCACTCTGATTCAGATGACCCTGAGGGCACAGATAAACCCCCATGTAGCCTCAACGGCTCTCAGAGAGAGTGCTAACAACCAGATGATTGCAAAGAAATATAATCTTTTCATCTTCCCTACCAGTGGTGGGTTGCCCCCACTTCGGACCAGTTCGCATGAACTGTAGTAAAACCGGTGGGAGGCTCTGCCCATCACCCCGGATGTCATAGGTGATCTGTGCATATGCAGAAGCTTGGCGTGTGCGCTCACTTTGTTCACGCATGCGTGCGATCCCATTGCAAACCGGTAGTAAAAGTAAGTAGAACCCACCCCTGTTCCCTACCATCCAATCAGAACTGATGAAACTTCTTGGATGAGAAGCAAAACATCTTCAAGAAAAAATAAAGTGTAGCTTCCTTTTGAAAAAAGCATCTCTGAGACAATATATAAAAAATGAAAAAATAGTCTTATCTCCCCTAGGACATGTACTTCCTAGTTTCATTTTGTGGAATCTAATGCAACTGGGCTGCCTTTTCCAAACCCAATTCTATCTGCCTCTGGGTTGGTTGCGTAGCAGTAATATTCATCTCCATTATTTAATAGCAGAAATTTGATTTACTTCATAAGTTGTTACACAGGGCCCAGCTACACAATGTATATAACTGTTTTAATATGGACTATGATGTAATAGCATACAGTAACTGTATACTTTCAGTAAAGTATTAAATATTTCTGTATATATAGGGCATATACTGTATGATTACCCATGATAACTAAAGGCATGTGAGTTGGCTCTATTTAAAAATGACTACTATCCTCTGGGAGGGTGATGATATGAAAGTTAAGAATGACCTCATTCAATGAGGTCATGTTCTGATGACTCCATTACACACATGTAATTTGTAGGTGCATTGTTTCTAAATGAATTGTCACTATCACATAACCTAAGTTATCTCATCAGATTTTTACCCAGATAATTTGAATACATTAGAGCTATATTATTTCTGACGACAGTTTCAGTTAATTATTCTAGGTAATTAATGAAGATTTTTCACCAAGTTTGACCTTGGGCTTTATTCTGCTTTAGCTTTGCCGTTTCCTCTATCACTCCTGCTTTTTTGGTTTCATGCTTTGGGCTTTTATAGTGTCATTATATGATGATTGTTTAAAGCCATTGTGGGCATATACCCACATCAGGAGATTGGAGTGGCAGAATATTTTATTTTAAAAAAGGTAAACTTGTTTGAAATGAAGTGTGTCTATATACTTCCCATCTGAAGAAGTCTTGAGTATCTAACCCATACCTCATACCTCCACCAGATGTTCTCCCTCCCTTTTATTCTTGTACTTTATTATGAATCCTCCCAAAATGCTCCCTGTAGCTGGTACAGCATTTTACCGGTAGTCATGTTCCAGTTCGTCTATACCACAAGGCAGAGTTAAAAGCTCTAGGATGTTTGGTGAGATGGTCAGCTTCTGGGTTGAGAACAGGGTAGAAGTCTGCTCAATGGTATTAAGATCTTTAAATTCTTTGGAGTGGTAGGCAGAAATAGGAAGTGTATGAGCTTTGGCCATCTTTCTTCCTCTTCTTGAGTCTTGGAAAGAACATTAGCAAGGAACCAATCATGGGTTACCATGGCAGCAATGTGGACATTCTGTATTTACTACTGTATTTCTTCTATTCCTTCTCGAACAAAAAAAGTAATTCTAGCTGGAGAAGACAATAAATATTGGAGGTATAAAGGGAGACAGGAAGAACACTGATGAAAGAACACAAAAGCCATTAACTGGTAAAAGAGACTGTAAATGAAATCTCAGCCCTGAAATAGTAAGCATAAGAAAAAGGTTTAGAATAACTTCACCTTTATTATGCACAGTATATGTAGACTTCAACTTAAACAACCACAGTTGGGACCAGACTTTTCACTGCTAAGCAAAGCAGTTGTTAAGTGAATTGCATCTGATTTTTCAACCTTTTTTTGTCACAGTTGTTAAATGAATAATTGCAGTTGTTAAGTGAATCATTGGCCATTAAGTGAATCCAGTTTTTCCCATTGACTTTGCTGATTGGAAATTTGCAGTGGCCAGGCTGCAAATGGAATTCACATGCCTCAGGACACTGTAGCCATTATAAATACATGCCAGTTGCCAGACATCCAAATTTTGATTGTGGCTATGGGAACAGGCTGCAACGGTTGTAAGTGTGAGGACTGGTCCTAAATATTTTTTTCAGTGCTGCTTTAATTTTGAACAGTCTCTGAATGAATGGCTATAAGTCAAGGGCTACCTATATAGCTGAGAGCAGAGAGGAAAATGGCAAGCTTTGAAAATTCTATTATTAACCCTACAAAAATAGAGTTCCAAATATGCTTCAGGAGTTTCTTTTCTGAATCCCTGACGGGCAGACAGAAAGAAGGGGATTATTGTACAGTGTGCTGAACAAAATACTCTTGATTCTACCCCATAGATTGTACCACTGTAAGGTCCTATAACCAAGGAGTTCTGGTAATGTTGTTTAGTCCCGGAATTTGCTGGTCATATTCTATTTTCATAATCATTTATGAATAGAGCAATCTGGAAAATTCTTCTTAAGTGAAAATAGCTTACTCAGTAATATGCTATTCTAATTCTTGATTGTAATGACCAGGTTATGGTGAAATAGTATACTATTGATTGATATTAATGATTGAAATGAACATTTAGGAATACATATTAGCCTGAAATGAACCATTTTCCTGTACGATCAAGACTGTCATTCACGATGGACATGCTTTTTTAAAAAAGCATAAGATAAAACTATATTAAGTTGCTATTTATGAATATAAATATGTTAGACTTGTTTGTAAATATATTACTTCATTGTTAAAAGCTCTGTTTGCTGACTCTGAAAATAGAATGTATACAGAGTTCTTGGTGAAGCACACCCAAAATATTATTTATTATAGGAATATTTTTATAGTATGCAACTGGACACATTTTTACTAAAAGTCTTATTGTACTGTTCCAGTATAGACACTTATCTGCCTAGGCAATTGAGAAATTGTATAATAAGGAAGATAATTTTACATTTGACCTTTGTTTATTCTGAAGGAGTTTCAACTATATTCAGTTCAGTTTATGCTCAAGTAAGTGTTTTAGGACTGTTAGAATTGCAGCCTATCAAATTATATGTATGTTTTCTCCTAAATAATTTGACAGTTGTACTCTATGCCTACAATCTTAAACACATATTTAAATAAACCATACTGAATACCAGGAGGCTTTTCATCTCACTAAATCTGTGGGAATTTCATTCCAAGACTTTCTAATAATTTGGCTTTTGTTATAATTTTGTTTAGGATTATAATTTATGTTTACAGTTTACTAAATCAAACACTATCAATGAATATGAGTGTAGAATTTCATTTTTTCTAAAAGAAATCATGGACTAGAAATAATATGGATTAAGAAATAAAACATCTATCACCTGTCTGTCTGTCTGTCTATCTATCTATCTATCTATCTATCTATCTATCTATCTATCTATCATCTATTTATCCATCCTCCATGCATCTCTTTCTAATCATCTCTCCCTCTCATATCTTGAAAAAGAGATAAAGAGATATGCTTCTGTATTGTTTATATTTAGAAACCATACATTTTATTTGTATACATATTTATAGAATGATCGTATTTCTTACTTCTACTTATCACCATTCACCAACCTTTATACAAAGGCTACTAGGTGCTATCTTGGTGAGGCTTTCTTATGTGATGATTAATGGGTGCATTGTCAGCACGGCTCCTTCAATATGTTATCTGACAAGTGTGAAATGATAGCACAGAACTAAAAGCTATTATTTTTAGTGGGCAGAGAAGTTACAGCAGCAGAGTTCCAGTAAATTCCAAAAGTTTAACTAAGAGCTAAAGTAGGCAGTGACGTAAAATATCTGTTATCAGATTTCAGTTTAAATGCTTTAAAAAGAACTATGGGTAGTTTCACCTTTAAAGCATCATCATCATGTGAAAAGGAGTTTACTCTTTCTCTCTGAGCTATTCCCTGGTAAAACACCCTCTCCCTGAAATTACTATGTCTCCTCTCCATTAAATTACTGCGTCTCCTATGTTTTTAGTACTAATAGTTAATAAATTGGCAAAATTTATAAACTCACAAAATACTTATCTTTTCCTCCTAGCTAAACTAGTAATATTTTTGGAGGAGAGAAATGATTACAAAGAAGGGACTTAATATGTACCTTATCATAGTAAGTATTTGAAAACAACATTCAAATGGCCCATTCTTTAATTTGAGCTGTATGTTGTTTGGCCCTTAACCTTTCCTAATAAAAGCAAGTGTTTATGATGTATCATCCACATTAATTATTATTAATGTACTTTTAATTTCAATGGTCCAAAAGACAATATTTATTTCAGTTCAATTTCTCCTGCTCTCACATTACAGAAGGACAAGCTAACACACTAGCTAAAATGGCTTTTTCCCAATAATTAAAGCATTTCTTCTTCCATTGTAACCCAGCACCTTGTTTTTAGTGCTAATAGTTAATAAATTCTCTGCTAGCTCTGCAATAGTTAGCCAACAGGACACACAGAAAAGAGAAATTTGCTTATATAGATAATTCTTGGATTATGATCAGTCGTTTAGTGACCATTCAAAGTTGACAATACCGAATGAGTCATACTTATGACTGTATCGCTTAGTGACAGAAATTCTGGTCCCAATTGCCATTGTAACTAAAAACTGTATATAAATACTCTGTTTCATCCATGCAACTCACTTCCAATTTTTTTTTACATGGGTCAGACAAATATTGAAATGGAACTCTATGCTGCACACTAGTGGCCACTTGAATGTTTTCAGGCACAATGTCCTTAGCCTTAATAACATTGGTTACTTGTGCCTATATTAAAAACAAAACAAAACATTCAGGTGGCCACTAGACTGCAGCACAACTAGAGTTCCATTTCTCACTACTAATCTGGAGATTTTTGAAAGCCAGCATTAACAGTTTGGGTTCTATCGATCTAAATAAAATCTTTTGCTGTTATTGAAATTAATAAGACTGAGGTATATTATAAACTCAGGATTTTACTAAGGAAGTCAGCATGTTATTTTTTAAAATTAAATTTCCACAAGTAATAAAATATAGAAAATGACTAGATAAAAGGAATATGATGTGTTTGTAAACTCAGTGAAGTAATAATTTACTTAAGCTTACAGTAATTATGTGTTTGACTTGTGTTGTTCTTGTTACTTAGTACCAGCAAGTATTCTTGATTTAAATATCCTTTGTGATGTAGACCAGTATTTTTAAATCTTAGTAAATGTGGACTACAATTCCCAGAATTCCCCAGCCCAGCATGGGTGTCACAAGATTTCCTGGAAAAAAAAAAAGAATAGCTTGTTGCTAAAAAAAAAAAAAAAAAAAGCATTGCCCTTTAGGCTAGGACACTTTGTTGTATGTCATTTTGTTGCCATAGTACTTGTCTCATAATCTCTTCATCTATCCTTTAATATCACCCTTTCCCAGTCTGAGAAGCCGTTTATGCAGGAATTGACCTTGATGGCAACTCGAATATTACACATGTCCAACCTGCTAAACTGAAGATAAATGTCAAGTTCACAATAAAGAGATTAATCTTGGCAGAGGTGATTAATGTCTAACTCTTTTTTTGTGGGAATAGGAAATACATGTTTGGAGCTTTCTTTTCTTCCACTTAGTAATAAATTAAATATTGTAATGATACAAAACACCCCTACAGTTTAACCGCACTTCTTGTAAAAGAGCTTTTTCTACAAAAACCTACTCCTATTATTTTCTAATTCTTGGAGAAAGAGATGATAAAATTAAGATTATGCCTTACAAAGCCATAAAGTAGTTTCTTTGGATTTGGCTCAGTATGTTTGTGAATTTGGTAATTGTGGGTTTGCAGATATTTTATCTTTTTTGATGGGGGGAACTCATTTTGATAGTATATTGCAGGCACTATGGCTACCAGAAGTATGTTTATGGTTTGCCTGCTCACAGAATGGCTGCCATTGTGGTGTGCTGGTGGAAATTAGCAAGTCAATTAGATAGGCACCCCAAGGCCACCAGGTGAGGCCCACGCAGGTCACTCCTCCAAGAGGACCACACTGAAAACCTCGGGTCTGAAGATTTAGTGATAAGTGAAAGTAACATATTATTATGTCTTCAAATCATAGTTAAAACAAATATTGACTTCAATCAACCCAGCCATTAATTTGTAATATGAGATACTATTGCTTCTACTGTGACTACTACTTATTACAGAGTTGATATGTACAAGGTATTTACAAAATACAATGAAACCTCCACTAACAAGGTTTGTTAATAGATAACAGATGTAAAAACTGAGATAGGAACATGAAAGTGAGAAAAAACAGTTTTTTAAACAGGAAAGCAAATAAAGCATATTTTTCTTGTCTAGCTGCAGATTCAATTTGTTACATTTGTAGAATTTGTTAGTGACATAAAAGCAATCTTAATGCAGGCTGACATCACTGGATATGAATGTTTTGCCACTGGCTTTGTACACAGTGCTGGTTTAATTCCCATATAATCTATGCAGCTCTCTAAATTCTACCCATAAATCAGTTCTTACTATGCCTATAGTGGAAACATAATTTTAGGATACATGTTTTCTTGATTAGCAAGATTAAACTATGCTTAAGTATGTAGTAATGTTTTCTTTTGTAATTCCAACAGAAGAGTAATTTTTTTTTTTGCATAAATTGTAGAGTGGGAGAAAAAAACTGACACACACAAAGATAGCAGTTTTCATACAAAGACTTTAATTTTGCACTTTCTGCTAAATATAATGGCTACTAATCAACCTATAGTATGATATTTTACTGGAATAGATGGGACTCATTGCATTCCTTTTGACTGCCATTTTGCAAGGACAGTCCTTTCTAGTCACTGTTTTAACTCTAGAACCAAAAAATGAAATTAATTTACAGTTCAATAAATGCAAATACAATATATGAAGTAAAGTATAGTTTTTCACATTCCTGTAATCATATTTAATGTTCTATCTTTTTAAAACCTGCCGATTGCTTCATATAAGAGGAAACTTTTGTAAAGTATCTTTTCTGATAGTAGCCTGTTTATCAGTTTGGCATATTCTTTCACCTATTTTTCAATTGCATTAGTTTACAACAAATATAGGTGTTATAGAGACTCTGCAATCCACCTGGAGTCTGCCAAAAGCAAAATATTTGATATTTTACTACTACTTGGCAAACATACTGAAAAATTGTAAGCCTGTTTCTTTAAACAACAAGTTTGTTTCTACTTTGCTGATGTGCTGTGATGTCACTGTCGCTCATTCTGAAAGTATTGCTTTCCTAGAGATGCCAAGCCTGCCAGGCTAGTTGCTAGGATACAAGGGAATGTTACGGATTACTTTTACACTGAATCATTCAGACGGATTACTTGGGAGAGAACATAATGTCATAGCACATTGTCAGTGAAGTCACATCAAGAATTACTTCACATTCTTTAAATATGTTGTTTTCTAATTGTGAAAATTTTATAGAAAAAAAGTAGTGCTTTATTTCGTGCTACAAATACTAATAATTTTCAAGAAAGTTATGAACTTTGAAATAGTACCAAAAATTGGGAGGAAGGCACAATGTAAGTATTACAGAGTATTGAGAAACACTGATTGTTAGCATTCCAAAGCATAGATTTCAAAGCCATCAGCTGGTCATGAAAAAATGATTACAGAGATTATGTGGTATTTATGATCACATGAAGCTAACTGGAATTGTTACATTGCTATGCCTAAATCAACTAATATTTAAATGAAGAATGAAGTATTTGCTCTTAACTTGTGATTTAACATTTTAATGCGGTGGTTTTTCAACCTTGGCAACTTTAAGATGGGCAGATTTCAGCTTCCAGCAAGCCTGGCTAGGAAATTCTGGGAGTTGAAGTCCTGCCATCTTAAAGTTGCCAAGATTGAGAAACAGAGTGGAATAAAAAATAGTCATATGATTCAGTCCCATGTCATCTCGCAAAATAGGAGAAGGAAGGGAAAGGGAAAGGACAGAGTTAGTTCTTCATTTCTGTAGGCTCTAGTACTTTACTTTCATTTTGCCACAGCAAAAGATGGCATGTACTAGGAATGAAGGGCAAGTACTATGTGGTGACCAAGAATATAGTTACAGTGCATCTGATGCCCCTCAACATTCTTTCTGTTTGCATGCTTCCTGTTGCATTCTTTCCTTATGTCACTGCCTTAGAGCATTAAAAGGCCAGATGCCTGAGAAAAGAGCTATGGTCAGCCATGTTCCCACTTGCACTTAACTATGGTACCGTTGGAAGGAAAATCTATCTAGTTCAGTACCAAGCTGGGAGAAAGGCACTGGAAACAACATGGAGGCTGATTGGAAAGAAAATGTAATGATGAAGAAGAGCCAACAGCAATTGTTGTTAGCTTATCCCCTATTTGACACTATCCAAAGGCAGCCTCAAAATCTTTAAAGTCCATTAGGGTTGGTCATCCTTGAAGAAACTCTGGAACAGACAGCAACTGGGAAAAGAGGGAGAGGTGTCAAAATAGTGATCTGCAATGAGGACATGAACCTTTATGCCTGTAGTTTTGTTCCAACTTGAGAATGGACGGAGAACATTGTAACCCACTTGTAGAAAAAGGCCAAAGATTATTACAATAAATTGACAGAAAAAATATACATGCAACTATTTAAACAATAATTGATATTATTAAAATTAATAATCATGATAAAGGAAGAAGAAAAGCCTGGAAAATTATAAATTTTGCTTTGTGTACATGTGGCTGCTCTGAAGATATGGCTTAGGAACATTAATTTCTATGATCTTGATGTGTCCTTTGAAATCAACAGGATTATTCACATGGATTGACTGTGATACTTTAAAGATGCATTTGTTCTTCTTAGCTGTGTTCCTAGTATTTAAAATTTCAGGACATTAATATCTATAGATTTTTGGGACAAGAGAGGGAACAAAATTATTCTACAACATGGCAATTTCAAAAAGAAATTGTTATACATTCAGATTTAGATTAGTTGAGACAAGAACAAGGCTTTTGAAGAATGGTTAGCCAGTTTGGAATGAAGTTGAACATGCTATCTTTATATCTCTTTGCAGTATTGGTTCTTCACCCCGCCAAAGCAAGATGGCAGCACCTAGTGAACAGAGCTGATGCCTCCAAATCAAGCAGAGTAATCTAGATAGTACTTTTTTTAAAAATTTGATTTATATGCCGCCCTTCTCCGGAGACTCAGGGCGGCTTACAATGCGTTAAGCAATAGCCTTCATACTTTTGTATATTTATACAAAGTCAGCTTATTGCCCCCACAAACTGGGTTCCTCAATTGACCTACCTTAGAAAGGATGGAAGGCTGAGTCAACCTTGAGCCTGGTGAGATTCGAACTTACAGTAATTGCAGACAGCTGGTGTTAATCACAATGCTACCAGTCTGCTGAGCCACCAGTACTTGAATCAAAAATCATTAAAAGAAGGACCGAGGATTTCCCCCAAGATGGCTGCTGAACGGTATGAATGTTTTCCTTTCCTGCCGACAATTTGCTGATTTTGCTGCCAGAGCTGGTTCTCTAGAAGTGCAGCTCCCTGGATTGGGAGCATTTAGGAATAACCCAGATGACTTTTGGATGGCAGTGGACCCATCTAGGAAGGGAGCCCTGAAGATTCCAATTCTCTTTGGGAGCGGTTGAAAAATAGGGTATCCATCTTCCTTTCAGCATTTCATTTTCTAATGGTGCCTGGATAACTTTCACTTTTTGAATTTACTGCTTTATTTTGCTTTTTGTCTCTAAAAGTTGACCGGCTGGTTAAATGCTGACCTACTTTAACCCCTTGCTGGATTTTATGTTTTTTTTTTCTGTTCCTTTTGATTTAGGTTATTTTGAATAATTTTTGCTTTCCCGTATGGAAATGCTAAGCATCCTTTGATGGTGAAGTGTTTTTATTTGATTTACATCATATTAGACTTTCACAATAGGGTTTTTTGTACTTTATTAACTTGCAAAATATTTGGAGTTTATTTTTTTAATTTTTCTTTTAACTTTGGATCGATATATCTGGAAAATATCTTCCCTATTCCTTTGATTTATTTCTTCACTTTACATTAATGTTTTTTGTTGCCTGCCTAACTTACACAGAACAACAACAGATTGAATTAAAACGAACAGACTGGCTGAAAAAAAAAACCATTTGGTAACGTGCAATTGAATACTTCTTTTAAAAAAAATGATGAAATGATAATGGCAGTGGAAAATATACAGAGGCATGTTGTTCTGAAATTAGATTCACAAAAGGAATGTGATTTGGAACCAGTTAATTTGTTGAAAAGAAATTGGGATTCTACAATCTTAAAATTAACTGAGTTGATGGCATACATTTTTTTGAAGTTCAAACCCGCAGTCTCTTACAACAGAAATTATACTGAGTGGAGAAGTAAATTAGCTTTACCCAGGAGGATTGAAGGAGATGAGGGAATGGATTTATCACACTGAATTGATAATCAATTTTCTCTGGACTTTTTTGGGAAGACCAATTTTGAATTTATTATATTTAATCAGACAGCAATTGATAAGAAATTGCATGAAGAAACAAACATGGATATTTGATCCAGGACAAATTACTGTTAATCTTTGGGATGACTTGGGATAGATAAGATGTCGTGGAAAATTTTCTATGTTATTACAATAACAGTTTGCTAACATAGGAGTATATCTTGTTATTATTATTGTTCTTGCTATTAACTATTTTGTCATCAATATTGTATATAGATGACAGGTTAGCAATTTGCAAATGGACTTGATAGTTTAAAAAAATTTGGGCTTGTTTTGCAAAGGGTGAGAAATTAATTTTGTGATAATGTATTAATCAGTATGGAAGATAATATGTTTATAGGTGTTAGGTTTTTTTCTTTCTCAATGCACTTTTTTGATGTCTTGCTTGTTTTGTGTTGGAAGTTAAATCCAATCTGTGTCTTATTCTAAGCTGGGAGAGAAATGTAGGATGAGGAAAAATTTGAGGCAGGCTCCAGTTGGAAAGGAAGTTTATTGGCCCAGTAACAGCAGTGATAGCAGCAAGTGTTTCTGGGGTTGCCAGATGTCTATGGCCCCCATGAACTGAAAATTCTTGGTGTTTCAATCCTAACACATAAAAATATCTTCAGGTTGCAGCAAAATATGCAAATCATTAGTATATGAAAGCCATACTTGGTATTTGAATGAGATATTAGATATGCACATTTCAGAAAATGGGTGGGGCTAGACTTAAAATAGAATTTGCTTTGGTTCAAAATTAAAATGCTTTCAGTGTAATTTTAAAATTAGAAATATTATTACAAGGTATTTAGCTGCAATTTGGGATCATATTCAATTTGTTGAAAAATCACTAATTGTGCTTTTTTGCTGAAATTGCTTAGAAGGGGCAGCTTTGTAATATATTTTAATGCCTTAAGTAAAATCTGATTAATTCTTATTGAAGAATTCCAGTGAACTTTGGGATTTTTCAATAACATAATGACAGTGTTATTTTATTAAAAAAATAAATATCGATTTGGATATCTGATCAATTTGAACAACCTCCTGGAATTTAATTAGGGCATCTGTTGGAACCCTGACATGTTAAAGGTTTGGAAGTAAATATTGGAGAGCCATTTATATGAATGATATCAGGATTTATATTTGGGATTGGACTAGAATTCCAAGATCCTTTCCAATTCTTGGATTTTATGATAAGAGGTATAAGATAATGTTAGATTTCACATTTTGAACTAAAAGTTCACAAATTGCATGTTAATACTGTATATACCAATATACTTGCACCAATATCTAGTTCTAATTGACAATTAGGAGGTATAAATATGCAATAAGTAAAGAAAATAACTGGTCTTTTGGTTTATATTACAACAGAATCAGAACGTATGGCAGTATTTTTGACTATTATTAGATAAATATCCATTTACATATCACTATATTAAAAACTGTAAACTTGATTCATGAAGAAAGAAACAGTTAATCCTGCTATGAATAATTAACAATGGAACCTAAATTTTTTACTTTCACTCCCATATAATCACAGGAGCAGTTCTTTCTAAAAGATAAGAAAGCAGGTAGCAATTTGTAGTCAATTTGTAATCAAAATGTTTGTGCATAGCAATTTATAGATATATATTTTTTTAAAGATAAAAAGTGTCCTTCAAGCAGAATCAGGGACTTCTAGATGTTTTGTTTTTTTCAAAAAGGAAGATAAAAAGTGACCTTCAAGTGGAGATGAACTACTGGTGACCTTGTGGCCAAGGATAGGCATTTTCATTGACAAAAATGTTTAAAGGATTTGGTGTGCAGCTGTGGTTTCTTCTGAGTTGTTTTTCAGTTTCTTAGCTAGATAACATTAATACCTTCTCATAGCTTCCCATCCAAGTATTTATTATGACTCAGCTTTTAAACTCTAACAAGATCAATCAATTTCGGTGTAATTCCATCTGATCAGGCACAGCACCACAGATATATTAAGCAGCTATACTGAGCTAAAATTTTCACCTTCCAGGGAATTATAGGGATACCGTATTTTTCAGACTATAAAATGCTCTGGACTATAAGACGCAACTAGCTTTTGGGGAGGAAAACAAAAAAAAAATCTGCCTCTATCTCTGCCTCCCAGCAATTTGCCTCCTTGCAGCAAACAGCAAACAGCCTGGTCAGCTTCAGCACAGCCTGATTTAGCACGAGCAGCTGATTGGCAGTTGGATCTGCCTCCTGGAATACTGTCTATCAGCTGTTCCAGGCTGCAGGGATCATAGCCGCCTATCACCACCTCCGCATGCCCCATTTTCGTTCTCTGCGTGTCCCATTTTCGGCCTCTGCATGCCCCATCGTTGACACCTTTTCCCGCTGCTTGGAATGGGGCAGCAGCGGCGATGGACGGCAGTGGTGATGGGTGATAGGCTGCACCGGCGATGGGCGGTGGCAATCCTCACAGCCTAGAACAGCTGATAGGCGGTATTCCGGGAGGCAGATCCAACCACCAATCAGTCTCCCTTGCTAAATCAGGCTGTGCTGAAGCTGACCAGGCTGTTTGCTGCAAGGAAGCAAATTGCTGGGAGGCAGAAGCCGAAGGGTGGGGGCCAATGGGTAGGTGGGGCTTCGGCAACATTTGCTCTATAAGACGCAGTCATTTCCACCCACTTTTTTGGGGGGGGGAGTGCATTTTATACACCAAAAAATATGGTATATATTTCTGTTAGGGATACATTTACACCTAAAATATATTTAAAACACATTACCATTTCCTCCATACTTTTGTGTGGGAGATAGAAATGTCTCTATATTGTTGGGAAAATATGGATTAAATTGACAAACGTAAACTACTTCCTTAGTTTTGCTTCTCGACCAAGAGCATACATTGCAGTCAAAGGAAAGCAGCACTTGTTGAAATTCACCATCAACATATCCCTAGTTTATTACATATAACCTATTTGAATTTTCTAGAATCTTGGGTGCTGTTTGTTTGCAGATGTTTCATTCCAGACTTCTATAGCTAACATCTTCAGTGCTAATAAGGAGTGGGGTTTGCTCCTGTTTTTATATATTTGTTGGTCCAGTCCATGTTGGTGGAGAGCTTGTTTTCACCTTGATAGTTCCTCTGTTAGGCTACTTGATTGCTTGTCTGAGTTGGTAGTTCTTTGATTAGGGTATTGTTTATTGCTTATGTTAATTCTTGTATTCCCTGTTTATCTAAGTATCTAATCAATTGCAGGGAAGGTGTTCTGGAATTTTTGTTTCCTTTTTAACTTTTTTAATTGTCTCTTTTGAATCCCTGTGTAAATGTGCTTTATCTGGATGTACCTATTAATGGCTGATGGGTCTTTTGGTTTACTTAAGATGTTTTGAAATTGTGGGTTTCAGCGATGTATAATTGCTTATGTTGCCTATATTGTATAGGTAGTTTATCTCTTTTATCTGGTATTCTGCAGTGTGTTTGTGCTCTTCTGAATAATGTTCTTACACAGCTCCTTTTGGGGGAAAATGGGTTGTTACTTTGGAAATGAAACACTTGGTTGGTTTTCAATAGACTTATTTCAAAGATGCCATTTCCTTTGCTGATGTGGATAGCTAGGTAGGTTAAGGTTGCTTTCTTCTTCCTTGTGAATGGTATTCCTTTGAAGATGTCATTATCATGTTCTTTTTTTATTATTATGACAAAGGTGTTGTCTACATACCAGATTCATACTTTTGGTTGTATGTATGTGTAGTTTCTAGACATTGCATTACAGTCTCTGCTATGATTCCTGAAGGTAGTGATCGCATGGGTGTTCCTCTAATTTGTTAGTATATTTGTTTATCGACTTGAAAGTAGGTAGTAAAGCAGAGGTTGATGAAATCTGTGATACTGGGCATTTTGATCTTAGTATATGTGGTTAGATCTGGTATGTTGTCCAGTACTACTGCCATGAACCGCAACATTTCATTAGTTCTCGGTCTACAGAGAAAAAAGTGTTGGGATGTTGAATGAAACCAAAGGAAATATCTGAATTTGCTAAAAACAACAACAACCCCCCCCAAGATTAATCTATAAAGCAATACTCCCCCCCCCCAATGCTGTAAAAGACTGGGTAGCTATCCATCTTAAATATATATAGATACAACAGAGTTTCAGCCAAACAGCAATGTTAAAGAGCAAATAATACACAAAGATGAAAACATGCACTCGTGGGAGCTTTAAATCTAAGCAACTGGGGAGAAAAATTATTTGGTATTCTGCAATTCCCTCCAATGGATACCCAATACCATTTGCTTCTCTCTCTCTCTCACACACACACACACTTCTTTTAAATAGCAACTGCGTTAAAAAAAAGTAAAACACAATAGCACATGACGCGACCGAAGGGCAGTAGAATTTCTTTCTGCATTCCTTCGGCATTATATACATGCTCAGAGGCATTTTCTCACTGTATTTATGACAGCCTCCTAGCTCTGTGGCGGTCGCCACCTGACTCTTCGTGCCTGACTATTACCCACCGGTGGACTCTCCTCTTTCCTTCGCTCCTTGTTGTTATTGCAACTTCCTCGTGGCGTTGTAAGTGAATCCCTGGGACTTCAAAGCGAGTATTTTCTATTGCCGCCCCCCACCCGCCCTCCTGAGGCGGCAGAGACAGCGAACTGAGTGTATGTGTGCGCGCGCTCGCTTGTGCGTTTTTGCGGCTAACGTCCTTGGCCAACCGGCTGTGGCAGGAGGGGGAACTCGGCCAACCTCTGCCGGAAGCCTTGTCAAACGCCCCAGCAGGGACGTGGCCGGGGAGCGACCGCTCAGCTCAGCTCCTCGCCAAGCCCCTCCCATCTTGGCGACGTGTGTCTCGCAACGTGCTGAAGGGCGGGAAGTAAACAAGGCCCGGCCTTCCCTGGCCGCTCCCCCTCTGCCGGGCCTCCAGTACCTTCCAGGAGGGCCTAGGCCTGCGAAAGGGAGGAGGGAGCCGCCCAGAGCTGTGGCGCAGCAGGAATTCCCGCTTCGGCGCGGCCCGAGGAAAACGGGAGGGCGAAGGGAGGGGGCGCTGTTTCTGCGGACCCACCTCCCCGCCTGCGTGAGGAACTGAGGAGGGGGCGGAAGCGGTCTCAGGACGCCGACGCCGGGGGGGCGGGGATGCCCGAGGCTATTTTTACTCGCTCGCCTCATCCTTTCTGGCTACTTGCACGGAGGGGCGGCGGCAAAGCGGCGGCCGCAGCGGTTGCTCCCTAGCCCGGCCCCTGCAGCCTTCCTGGGTTGCTGTGAGCGCCGCCACCGCAACAGCCTATAAAGAGCCGAGGATGCAGCTCTACAGCACTATCGTCACTCATTATCCGGCCGCGGCGGCAGCAGCAGCAGCAGCGGCGGCGGCGGCGGGAAGCGGCGCATCCAGCGGGCCGGGAGTCGTGTTCAAAGTCTCGCCGGAGCCCGCGGGACAAAGCCCGGTTGGAATTGAGAGCGACGTCGGAGGTGGCGGAGGAGGGACCGCGAGTGCCGTCACAGCCGGAGCAGCCAACACCATGCCCGCCTTCTCTTGCCTGGAACTGCTGCCTTCGGCGGGGCCCGTCCAGAGGAAGCCGCCGACGCCGCAGCAGCAGCCGCCGCAACCGCAAGTCTTTGGCTCCGTGGCTCAAATGACCCGCCGCCGGCAGCTTGAGAGAGTCGTACCCATCCAACTGGTGCCGCACTCGGAGTCCGTCGGAGCGGTGGGGGAGCTGGACCCGCAGGCGTCTCCCAATGCCCACCCGTGGCTGCTGCTGGAGAGCAGTGGGGGCGAAGTTGCGGCCGCCGCCCAGCCAACCTTGCAGCCGGAGCCCAGCAATCACGGGCTCCGCTTCAACGAGCATTGCCAGGCCTTGCAAGCGGCGGCAGCAGCCGGCTCCTACTCGGGAATTGCAGCTGAGTCTCAGCCCGCCACCACATTGAAAGTTGCCGAGGAGGCGAGCCCAAGCCAGTTGCGTCAGACGGAGCGGAGCGAGAAGCTGGCGTTGTACCTGGCCGAGGTGGAAAAGCAAGATAAGTACCTGCGGCACAAAGGCCGCTTCCGCTTCCATATCATTCCCGACGGCAACTGTTTGTACCGGGCCGTCTGCAAAGCCATCAATGGGGACCAGCGGCTGCATGGGGATCTTCGCGAGCAGACCGTGCACTACATCGCCGACCACCTGGAGCACTTTGCACCCATCATCGAAGGCGACGTGGGGGAGTTCCTGATCAACGCGGCCCAGGACGGCGCCTGGGCCGGCTACCCTGAGCTTCTGGCCATGGGGCAAATGCTGAATGTCAATATCCACCTCACCACCGGAGGCAGATCCGAGAGCCCGACCGTCTCCACCATGACCCACTACCTGGGCCCCGAGGATCCGAGCCGAGCCAGCATTTGGTTGAGCTGGCTTAGCAACGGCCACTATGATGCTGTGCTGGATCGTCAGTGTCCCAATCCAGAATATGAAGAGTGGTGCAGGAAGACTCAGGTGCAGCGCAGGAGGGATGAGGAGCTGGCCAAAACCATGGCAGTGTCCTTGTCCAAGATGTACATTGAGCAGAATGCCTGTTCCTGAGATAGGCGTTGCATCCCTTACCTGCTGTTCTGGTGCCTTAATTGTTCTCCATTTCTTTCTCTAGCAGTTGTAATTCTTACATGGAGCAAAAACCTGAAGAGAAGGAAGGGAGAGAGAGATTTATAATGAATGCTTATCTATAGATTATCAGATACTAGTTATTTTCCTATCTTTCATTTTGTGTATATAATGTTTCTTTTATTTCCATACACTCTGTTCTTTAAGAGAGGATTTTCTTTTTTTCTTTTTGCACTTTTTCTAGTCTTTGTTCACCGCCAAAATAAAATTTAATTTCATTCTTTCTTTGCCTATAGATTTTTTTTCTGGCCTACATGGCTGATAGCATAACAGTTATTTTATGTTAATATCTGACACATTAACAGTATCATTCTTTCAATGAAAAATTGTATTGCTTTCTAGCAAAGGTGGAGAGCAATTGGGCTTCTATGTTCAGTTAGCTGGAGTAAGCTGGGTTTTCAGTTTATTTGATTGATCTTTTTTGTTTGTTAATCACACATAAACAATGTGGTTTAAAAAAACTTGCAGACACAGAAAGATACTTTAAAAGTAGTCTTGCTCTTTTTAGGAGTATAAATGCCTCCTGTCTGCCCCTTGGTAGTCCATCAGCAGGTTTATCACATTCTTTTGTTTCTAATTGGCTTAAGATAGTATTATGTACAAATATATTTATACTAAGTTTGTATGGTTTGCTGGGTCAAACAACCAAGGTAGAAGCCACCCTCTTCAATTTTGAATGAACTGAAATGGTTAGATATATTTATTAAATGGAGTTTGTACTTTTTTATCTTGTGACTTTGGAATTTATACTGTATTTGTATAATAGCAATATTCTTAGCATTCTGGAATAAATGTATAGTTTTGCTTGGATCTCTTGACACATATCTATGTGGGTGAAAACATCTGTCTTAAACTTGGGGTTTCTGGCTAGGCTGCAGAAAGAAAGTGAAAGCTCTTCGCAAATCCTGATTTTTTCTTTGGTACTTTGGCACTAGACTTGCTACTGGATCCACATCAGGAATAGTGAATAGGAAAGGGCACCTGCGAATCAAGTGTAATGAATGTAGATGTTGGAGTATCTCCATGATTTTTGTCCTGTTGTTTCTGCTTTTTGAATAGTGGGGAAGGATTGAGAAGTCAAGACTTTATATGGACCATTTAATATATAACCTAGATCCAAGGTCATAAACTGGTTAGAAGATAACATTACTCTTACAAATGTTCATGGAAAGTGAGGAACCATATTTTTGGTGAAGGCAGTGATGCAAAATCAGCAGAGCTGGGATTTTTTACTTCTGGGAGAAAAGTATTCACACAATTAAACAGAATTCAATTTATTTGAATCTTAATTTTAGTGTGTTTTCCATTTCAAAGTAATGTATTAATGATTATAATTGCAGGACCTGTGGGGAAAGGGAGGGAAACAGAATAGACTGCATATTGGGGCTAAGTTAGTTACCTAATAATATAGTTGGAAGAGAAATTGGGACCACAAAGTGGTAAAGATGTAATTTTTTCACTACAGGCTGGAAGACTTCCTACCATTCAGCCCCAAAGGCAACAGTTTACATATTTAATAGAATTTTTCATGATGCTTAGAATTACAATATGCTGTAATATTATGCTGACAGCATACATAGAAATCAGCTTTATTAAAATCAATCAAACATATTGAATAAGCATGGACAGGTAAGAACATGTTATAGACTAATCAAGAATTCCAGTTACAACAAATCCTGTTGTGTGCTAATCAAATTGCAGAAACCACATTTTACAGGAAGTGTCATATTTGTAGAATTAACTTGACATCAGGCTGTTCTGAATCAAATCCTATAAACTGATGTCCTAAAAATGAGCAGAATTTGCCTAAGAATATGGAAGTGGAGTCTGCTTTTTCTTCTAGCAGTAGAAAGGGGTTCCTCTGTGAAGCCAATCATAAAATAGAAGGGTTTTGCCACAAAAGAGATTTTCAAGCTTGCTTCTTTGCAATATTAATGAAAGCTGCCCCAAGTACAATATGTCCAGGGTTGCAAGATTGTGGAAGAATAACAAAGCTCTTACTTTATATTGGATGAAGCATACAGAATTTTGCTCCCGAGTTCATTCTCATTAACATCAATTTATAAACCAGACTAGTCCTGTTTGGAACTGGGAATCACCAGCGGAAACCATGATTTGGATAATGAAGTGTCATTTTGTAACTATCCACCCACAAAATAGGTGTGTGCTCTGTCCCTGTACTTGGCATAGGCATATTTATTACTTTTATAAACATGAATCCATTTATAAAAAGCTGCAGATATAAACATAACTTTTGAAGAAGAATTTGTGGTGGGAGGCTGTAATCTTTAGGAAAAGGCAGAAGAAGAAAAAAATTCGAAGAGATATGAGTGTCAAGGTTAAATGTCGTTGGAGTCAAGTTTTCTGATAAAACTCATTTACTATAAAGCCTGGATAAGAGCTGGTTTGGCCATTGGACACAAAGTAAAGCTGAAAATTTCAGGGATCATGCGTTGCATTTTTTCATAGCACTGAAACCCAACAATTTCTTTCAATGCTACATTTAAGAAAAAGGGGGTGGTGTCATGTGAATTTTCCATCAAAGTGTCTTGAGCTATGCTTTGAATTTCTCTCACCTTAGATTCTGTTTGATGCTGACTTCATTTCCTGAGCTTCTCTTAATATCCTCCAGATGCAACTCAATTGCATTTTTCATCATTCCTATGGTCATTGTGACTGCAAATTCTGGGAATTCCCAACACATCTGTAGGACACCAAATTAAGGAGTACTGATCTAGGCCATCAAATGAGTTAACAGAAAACTTTAAAGCATACATTCAAAGGTCTGATTTTCCACACTGACTAGTTGCTGTGGGAAATGATGTATTCTCTATTGGAGTGATGAATCCATGGAACATAAAAGATCTGGCTGAAGCTGAAAGCTGGGCAAGCCTGACATTCTGTCACATGGTAGCCCACCAGAAGCACTAACTGTCAATATTTTATTCAATACATGTTCATTATATAGTACGTATTCGCTGACCAACAGTCAATAATGAAGAAAATGCTTCCCTATCCTCCAAAGTTCCCCACAAGAGGTTTAGGACTAGTAAAGAAGTGCTTTTCCCCACATGCATACCTGCACTTTGAAATTCTCATATCCTCAGTATATACATACACAAGGATGTGTGTATATTGTCTACACAATGACTGACCTAGGATGTCTTAAATTATGTCAATCATTTCAAGGAATGAGTAACATTAAACACTTATTTCCTGTATCCTTTTTTTGGGGGGGGGCGGTGTCTTCTTTTCATAAATTGCAAGGTATTATAAAAATCCACCATGCAAAAACATGTTAAGGTAGTTCTCGACTTACAACAGTTAGTAACAATTCAAAGCTACAACATCAGTGAAAAAAGTGATGACCTTTTTCACACTTAACAACTGTTACAACTTTGCCATGATCACATGATCAAAATTCAGAGGCTTGGCAACTGACTCATATTTATGACGGTTGTCGTGTCCCAGGTCATGTGATCACCTTTAATGACCTGACAAGCAAAGTCAATGGAGAAGCCGATTTAGTTAATGACTGTATTACTAATTTAACAAGTGTAATGATTCACTTAACAACTATGTCAAGAAAGCTGTAAAATGGGCCCAAACTCTGCAATAATTCTTTGTCCTAATTGGACTGGTTTGTACTTTCTCTTTTTAAAAAGTTTTTATTTATTTATTTTTGAATGTGCTGGTTACTACCTTTTTGTGTAGGACTGCTATTTCAACTGTATCAGAGTCTACAATTAAAATGCATTTACAGTTCCTGAATAAATGTCAAAGTTCTGTTTTATCAAAAAAAAAAAAAAACACTATAATTTGAGCACAAGTGAGAATAAGCTATTATTCTCTTTAATAACCTGGATGTACAGTGTCTATGGTTTTGAATTCATAATGATGTAGTTTGAATGGGATAACAAGATACTGTGAATGTACTCTGAGCTTACCATTATAAAAACACCAGAAGCTGGTGAAAAAAAAGAACAATTCCCCAGTCAGCAAAAAGGAGAAAAAGATTGTTGGCTGCATAATTTTATCAACACTAACCCACTGAAATCTTGTGAGCAATTTTCAAGCCCTCTTGTTAAAAAGTCTAGGGCTAAGGCACGAGGCTAGAAAGCAGGAGACTGAGTTCTAATGCACTTCAGCCATGAAAGAAAGCTTGGGTACTTGAGCTAGTCACTCTCGCTCTACTCAACTCACTTCACGGGTTTGTTGTTGTGGTTACGATAGGAGGAAGGTGTATTAGATATGTTTGCTGCCTTGAGTTATTTGTAAAAGTAATAAAAGTGGGATACAAATAAAAAACCTCTCATTTAAACTGGTATCTTCCTTTATTTAACTAAATATTGTGGGAGCAGTGATCCAATAGATGAAGAAATGAAACTTCTTTTTAACCATAAAAATGCTGTTACCTGTTCATTTCAGCAAAATGAGTGGCTATAACAATATTTCACTTAGTGAATGTTCAAAGTTACAAAAAAGCAATTTATGACCATTTTTCACACGTACAACCGTAGCCACATCCCCATGATCACGTGATCAAATTTAAAAAGCTTGGCAAGTGACTCATATTTCTGGCAGTTGCAGTGTCCAGGATCACGTGATCAACTTTTGTGATCTTCTGACAAACAAAGTCAATGAGGGAACTAGATTCACTTAACAGTCGTGTTACTAATTTAACAACTGCAGAGATTAATTTAACAACTATGGCAAGAAAAGTTGTAAAATGGGGCAAAACTCACTTAACAAATATCTCACTTTAAATCCTGAGCTCAATTGTGGTTGTAAATTGAGGACTTCCTGTTATCTTAATAATTCATTTAAAAGTTATTAACAAGTCTTGAGGAAATGCCAGGTAATGGGAAAAACAGATGTCAATTTGGAAGGAAGATTGGCAGAGCACTTCCAAAACTGGATACCAAATTTCAATTTTTAACGTAACACTAAAATGATGCTAGAATGTTAAAAAAAACCAACAAACAGAAGAAGGTATTTTAATGACAAACAGTTTCCATAACTTTGGCAAACAAACTTCATGGATGTAATTATATGGAGTCAACTCAAGGACAGTTTTGTATGTTAGGCAAAATTATTAAATGCTAACAACTGATTTTCTATTAATCAATTTGATTTAAAATTAACTATAAAATTAAATCCAACTATGGTACTTTTTTTTGTGGATGTGAAGAGTTGGACATGACTTAGTGACTGAAGAAGAGCAACTATTTTTTGTTTTTGCCCAGCTTAGTATGGGCCCTATCTCTGGCAGGCTACCCCAAGATCAAAGATCCTTGTACCTCCTGTGTTCAGGGTTTCTTCAGAGAAATGTTTTGGAACAATTAGCTCCAGCTCAGGCAAGGATATCTAAAGAATTTCAAGAAAAGCAAAAGCAGCTGTAGGGCAGCCTTTCTGATGTTTGTGTTTTCTCCTCCTCTCCCGTTCTTTTCCTTTTAAGCTAATACTAGTGCAACTTGCTTCATTGAATCTGGTTGTTTTCTAATGCTATGTTCACGTTCTTTAAGTTTTCAATCCATTCAGGAGAATGTGTCTGAAATTTTCTTTTTAATCTCCTTTTGCTTATGCAACATAAGAGATTGCATACTGTTTTTTTGTCCAGCATGGCAGGTAGAACTTAAATGGAAAGCAAAAGCACATTTAAATACCTGAAGCATTTTCTTCCAGAACGATGGCATGGCATAACAATTATATTCCTGACATGGTTGCTACCTGTTTTTGTAACTGACTCATCCGCACCCTGGACTTCAGCAGATAGTTTTTATTTACAGTTCTAACAGGCTTTGCTTCAT